TATTTCAGTTGTAAGTTGTTATTTAGTTATTGATTGTCTAGAAACCGAAGAATAATCCCACCATCGCAGCCAACCATGGTGGCTGCCACCACCAACCGCCGTCTTGGGTGGCAGTGTGCAAATGTGTGTGATTGGATTGATGTTTCGAATGTTTTTCATATTTTTTGGCCTAAAATCATAACCACCACCACTGTGAGGTGGTGGCTACTGCCGTGAACCACCGTTGACCACCACCTCCTAGGGTGTTAGTAGGTGGTGTCCGACTTATTAAACGCTAATTAACCTAAAAGATTAACCTGGAACCTATCATGCATTTGGGTTGGAAACCCTGATTAGGGTTTAGAAAACCCTAATGTCAAGAAACCCTAGTTTTGGAGTTGGTAGGACTCGCGTTAAAGTCGTTAATTAAATTCTAAATAATACTTAATAATGCCCCTACGATTAACTTAATGTAATTTTGAGCTTAATGGATTAAGTCCTTAATGGGTTAAGTGTTCTTAGTTAACCCTAATTTCGATTTTATGTGAAAACCCTAATTTTGTTTGGGCTTTGAGTTGGGCCTTTTTTTGGGCTTAGGTGTTTTTGTTCTTGTTGGGCCATTTAAGAACAAGTATATGGACTAGGTTATTTGGATGGGTTTTAGGGTAAGCCCCATGTGAGGGGTGTGGGCCTAAATTGGAAAATTGGGCTATATGTTGGGCCTTGGTTAATTATTTGGATTTTGGGCCTTAGGCTTGGATCAAGCTAGGTTGGGGGTAAAGTAGTCTTTTTACCCCAAGTATGGATTTATGGTTATGCATTGGTACCCAATTATGAATTGGGTGCAGTTTTGATGTTGACAGTTCGGTGATCTGTCATCCAGCAACTAGAGTTTTATCCGCGGGACTTCAGGAGTGCGAGGTGAGTCTCCTCACCATACTAATGGGTCAAAGGCACCAAGGTCGGCCCATGATTACGATATGTAGTGTGCTAGTTGTCTTCGTGACTCTTACTTATAGTGGGTATTTGCGAATGTGCTATCAACGTGTCATATATTTATGTTAAGACCATGTGGGGGTTTCCATGGCAGTTAGTTTATTTAGCTGTGGTGTTTATTGCAAATGTGCTATCAATATGTTATGTATTTATGTGAAGACCATATGGGGGTTACCATGATAGTTATTTAATACCATGTGGGGGTTCCCATGACAGTTACATTAAGACCATGTGGGGGTTCCCATGGCAGTTAGCATAGACCATGTAAGGGTTCCCATGACACTGGTCTAAGACCATGTGGGGCTTTCCATGGCCCCCGAGGTAAGACCTTGGAGGGTTTCCATGGCATCCTTATATGTTTGTATGAATGGTTTATGTGGATTATGTGAAGTTATGTGGGGTATGTTATGGGGAACTCACCAAGCTTCGTGCTTATAGTTTGTTTATTGTTTCAGGTATTTCCGGTTCGAAAAGGAAGGGCATGGCTTAATCGCAGTGCACACACCCGTGTTTTCCACATTATGCGATTTCGGTATCCAACTCTGATAAATGTTTCTAATCAGGAATCTGTACATGCAATTCAAAGGCTCATACAATCAAACAAAAACCTAAACAGGCTATCCTATTACTGACTGGTCAGTACAAGCATGCAAGTCTACAAGCACATACAATAGGCATATAAGGTATCCTCCTAGATCCTCATCCCTAATCTAGCATGTAGTTCTCATAATCATATCATAACATAACATATCATAACATGTATGGGTATCTTGGGGAAAACTTACTTAAGCTCGGTTGATTGCATGCATCACACACCTTGTTTTCAAAGTTGTTCTCTCTTTTCAAACTTATTTTTATACATTGATTTTACTTTTGAAAATTTTCATACCAAGTCTTTAGTTTGAGCTCAGACACACTCGATAGTGTGCCCGAATCCGTCAGACCAAAGCTCTGATATCAACTTGTAACATCCTAAAATTTCAGGCCAAAAATTTAATTTTAATTATGCTATTATACACCAACAATATAAGAAAACATCCATAATAACAAATCGTGTCAAAACCAGTACGTCAATAATCAAAGCAGGTCATCATAAAAACCATATCAGAGTGTAATCCCAAAGACCTCGTGTGTGGAAACATAGTATGATGCGCTACGATCGAGCCGACTCCTTTCCTTTGAAAACGAAGTACCTAAAACCAAAACTAAAAACCATAAGAACGAAGCTTAGTAAGTTCCCCCATCATACCACATACCATACAATCACATACTGTCAGGCATACTGGGGTGCTCGACCTACCCCATGCCAGACATATCTAGGTGCCCGACCTACCCTGCTGAGCATACCGGGGTGCTCAACTACCTCTGTTAGGCATACCGGGTTGCTCAACCTACCCCTTCGGTTTAAGTTCTCAAAAATCATTTGTGTTTGTCTTGTATTCCCCCTAAAAACGTTAAAATTAGTAAAAGCGTAGGGGTATGAACTCGCTATTAGTTGCGTGAAGGGGTTGGACTATGAAACTGAAATGAGGACCCTCGAGTTGTACGCGGAATTAATGGAATGTTACCGAGACTGATGAAGTGAATGGAGGGTTTTTGGTTTCCAAAGTGTTCATTGCTGGAAAGTGTTCACGGTCGTGAATGGTTCTTGGTGTTGTTAGTGAGGATTTGAAGGGTTCACGGTCCTTGAATGGTTTGCTGCCGTGAACAAATTTCAGCCCTTGAAGATTTGAAGGGTTCACGACTGTACACCCTTCAACAGAGATTTGTTGATTCAATGAAAAATGTGTTTTAGCGGCTCAACAACATCACCCAAAGGTGATTTTTGATGATTTTCGGAAGAAAATGAGGAAATCTTGAGTTTGCGGTCGGGAGATTAGAGAGAAGATAGATGGGTTTTCAGCCAGAAAAGTGTAAATGAGGGGTAAGAACACGTATATATAGTTGGGTTCATGGTTGGTGGTGGGGTCCACCCAGCCATGAACGCTTTACGATCGTGATCAGGTTCACGGCCGTCAACACCAATCAGTCCGAATTTTGCTGATTTTCGAAGAAGAACTCGGTTTTTCGCGTGATTTTGGTTTCGACTCATATATAAAATTTTAAGTATATAACTTAAATGTTTTTCCAAACCATAAGAATTTGACGGAACTAAATAAAAATCAAAATTTTATTAATGGAATCGGGATAACGTTAATGGAAAAGGTTTCGGGTTGTCACAACATAAAACATATCAGATAGTAGCTAACCAGACAATTATCACAAAGACAATTATCTAACAAACAACTCCTACAAGTGGGCCAGCATTGTGGACTTAGACCCACTTCTACTGGAAGGTAACTCACCTCATATTGCTAAAGTCCCAGACACAATCCCAACTGCTGGATGACAGATTCTCGAACTATCAGTATCAAACATCACCGAATTAATAAATGGGCTCCAACTCATAACCATAAGTACATACTTGGGGTAAATACTACTTTACCCTTAATTTAGCTTTAGCCAAGCCCAAGGCCTAATTCAAAGGCCCAAAAGTCAACTATAAGTCAAAGCCTAACATATGGCCCAATTTTCCAAATTGGGCCCAAACCTTTATATGGTCTTATTCTTTAGTCCAGTCCAAACATTTGACATTTCTAATGACCCAACATCTCATAATCATGAAGGCCCAATTATGGGCCATCTATAGCCTAATTTTCCAAATTGGGCCCAAACCCTCACATATGGGCCTTACCCTAAAGAGCATCTAAATATTCTTGTCAAGATGATTATTCTTGGATGGCCGAACAATAACCCAATAATCAAGGCCCAATAGAAAGGCCTAGCAATAAACACAAGTGAAATTAGGGTTTCACATAAAATGACAATTAGGGTTAAGTGTTTCTCCCTTAAACCAATAAGGACTTAATCCATTAAGTACATTACTTTACTCGATAAGTCATATAGTGTGATTGGGTGTAACTGAAAACTCCATTCCAGTGGCCCATAAGTGAGTACCAATATGTCCAAGGCCCATAAATCCAATATTAGGGTTTTCCAAACCCTAATTAGGGTTTCCAGCCACATCTTAGCCCAATAGGCCCAATAGCTAGGTCTTTTAATCAATTAGGTTTCATTAGGCCCATTAGGGTTTTAGTCCCTTTTTCCAAACATCCCTACGAATCAAACACCACAAGAACACCGCCACCCGACACGGTAGCTGGTGGCGGCAGCCACCACCTCACGGTGGTGGTTATCAGTTTCATTATTCCTTTTGCTTTTGCAAATTTTACTATGCAAATTTCCAAAATAAACACACACTGCCACCCTTGTGGTGGTAGAGTGTGGCAACCACCACCCCACGGTGGTGGTGATGCCTTTTCCGACCAAATAAACACCCACATACATGCTTCTGATCTGGAGATGCACCCCAGCCACCCTCCCGGTGGTTCACGGCGGCGACAACAACAATTTTGGGACGACAACCACCATCTCACGGTGGTGGCGGTGATCTCTTTTGGTTCTCAGTCAAGCAGCAGCACACCCCGACAAGACCTTGCTCGGAATCTGGAAGCAACCACCACTTGGTGGTGCATAACGACGGCGACAGCAGTTCAAGTAGCCACAAAGGTGGCTATTGGCTGCAGAACAAAAATGATAAAGTTTAAGATATTGTTATAAAAAAATGTACATGAAACAATAAGAATATATCATGCATGGTGATGCAAAATGCAATTCACCTTAAAGAGCCCAATGTTTAGTAGAAAACCAAAACACATTTATATGAGGTGCCGCTTTATAGAGAATTGATAAGTGATAGTACTATGAACTTGGAAATTATATTTGGTACAAAGAGTCAATCGCAAGACAATGGCGATAGAGAAGTTTAAGTTATGAATGGATTCAACTAGCCTTCCTAATATTTAAAGAGAATGCACGTGCTAGAGAAAGATAGTGGTTACAAAGTTCGAGTTTTGATGACAGCCGATTGGTTGATCAACCTCCAAGTGAAAAATTATTGACTTGTGGAGCATAGTACTCCCTTTGACCTCATTGCCGCTACAAGACTACGCATGGGGTCCTGATCCCAAAAGAGCAAGTGGGCAACTGCGATGCTTCGTAATCTTCCTTGGTCTCTCACCGGTGAGCATTTGCGGTGGTATGAATGTGGTCCTAAAGCAATGAGCAGCCAGAGTGAACCAAATTAAATAGACCTCATTGTACGAATGTAACCCTAGCGTAGAAAGCATGTGTGACCGCTATTATTAATAAAATCTCTCTTGTTCGACCCTAGACGTATCGAGTGAATTCATGTTAAATTCTTATGGTCTTTATTTTCATGACATCCTTTGTTATCATGTTTGTGTGTTTAAGTCCTTAATCCCAACAAAAATTACATGCAAGAATTGGCACATGCATACATTGTCATGGGCTTATAAAGAAAGAGAACAAAATCAGCAGAAAAGAAGGCCAACAAACTCGTCTTTCCTGCTATATAATATAACGACTGTAAAAGCATCAAATTGCTCCTATAGTTGTATTCACATAACTCTAACTGTATACTGTAAAAGTTTGAACACGTTTCACTAAACCCATATTGCGTTAGACCTTAAAAGCAATGGCACCAGCTGACCCTTGAGATGAAGGGTCATTATCTCGTTGGCACCCCCAATCAACTGCTGCCCTATGAACACGGCTGGTACACTTGGCTTACACCCTAATCCTTTGAGTTCCTTCTCTAGTTGCTGTCCCTTTGGATGCTTATCTAGCTCATAAACAGTTGGATTTGCTCCAAAACTACTTATCAACGTCTGAATGGTATGGCACATGCAGCAAGAGGTTTTGCTGAATATAACCACTGACCTTTCATTCACCAAAGCTGTAACTGTGGCCATCTTGGGAACTTGTAGCAATACTTAAAAATTTTAGATTTTGTTGTGGGTGAACTGAGCTCTTGCTAATGCTATATATAGATAATTATTTTTTAAGATTTTGGGTTGATGTGCTTACTTGACACTGAAAAGGAGAGATTCTTTTTCCCTGATAAATACTACAGTATCGTTTATGAGCTTCACAACTAATTGATAACAAGTTGATTACCCGTAGATTGATATGCACGGCAGCCTCTTACATCTTGAATGACATCCTTACCCTTGATGCACCCTTTAACTTCTATGCTGTGGAAGGGCAGTATCGTAATTATGTTTATGGGCATGAATATTTCATATGTCACTTTTCTTATTTCTATCCAAAAGCATCTGATGAGGTGTAAAAGATGCTTTCTAAATTGGTTAGACACCGTACCTTTCTTATTGTCAGATTCTATGTAAGGAAGAAGGTGAAAAGTGCCCAACCATCACGCAAGTGATGAGAAATTTATCATTTCGAAAGAAGTTTGGTCTTGGATTAAATAGTTGTTCATAGAAAATATCAATAATGAAACCACTCAACAACCCAAACAAACACATAACATAATATTTACTTTACTTATTCGGTTTACAGTATAGATTTCCATCCACGTCACTTGAGTGGTCAATACCTGATAAGCACAAAGATTGTTTCACAACAAGTGATTCGTCATGAGTACGCCTGTTTAAGCATCGAATGTTTTGGTTATAACTTTGAATATAACAGTTGGTTGTGATGACATAAGTTACCAGAAACATGTCGATTCAGGTGTTCCTTTAATTTGGTTGCAGTTCATGAACGTACGAATAATATCAGGAACCCCACCTTTAATAGAAGATTAATAGCTTGCATCCTATTTTCATAACCAATTAGAAACCGGTAATTTGTTTTAGGATTTGTGCCATTTAAGTAACAGGAAGGGACGTTTTACCTCATATAAAGATCTCTAATGCGTTTTTTAACTCATCAAATGCTGTGTAGGATATTGCAAATATATATCTAAATTTATAATACAGTTTGCTTGTGTGTTTCCTGTGCTCGAGTTACTCTCTCTTTCTCTCTCACTTTTCTATTAATTTTGGGTGTATTTGGTCTCAAGCTTGTTTGTCAATGGTGATAAAATAAGAATCTTATGTCCAATAGAGTACATGTTGGGATGCAAACTCAATCTCACATTGGTAAAATAAGAAAGTAGAGGCTAGCATAGAAGGCAATGGGTAATTCCTTCTATCACCAATTGCTTTTAGAAAATAGAACCTCATGATTGGGCTTGTAGCGATCTTAACAGTACATAAGAATCCGGTATTAGATACTGACATCTTTTTGCAGCCTTAAGAAGGAAAGAATAATTAATGGTCTACAGGAAGAATTTGCATAACTGGCTCAGAACAAACCGAAGGGCCAGTTTTAGTGTATTGCTACACTACCACATTTTGGTGTCATACTGAAAAGCCTAAGCTTACATGTTAATATACTTCTTAACTTAATTGTCTGCATTTCTTTAAATATCTATTTGGAGGCAAATGTCTTAAAAACTTAAACTGTTAGCACTGTTTGCTTACTATATTCTAGAAGAAGCAGAATATTATGTTGTCATATGTAGGGATGTAGGGATGGAGCATATCATAATGGGCATATGTAAGGCCACGTCTTTGTATATATCTGAATATGTGGCTGTTTATCATCGAGTCTCGGCATCCAATAGGCTATCCTTTTTTCCCCATTTCATTCTCTTATTACTTCATTTATGTAAATTGGAAAATGCCGAGGATCATTTGTACGTACACTTGGTGTGATGCTGCATTTATGCTTGAGCACTAGATGGGAAAATCACATAGGAAAAGACATTTCGGGAATAATATATACATCATATTATGCTTACACCAATAATGCATGCCAACATGGCAACTCCTTTTCTCAATTTGATTGCCTCAAAATTAATGTTCTGTAGCCTGTCGTTTCATTCTTTACTCTTAGTTACACGTTGACATGGCCATGTGAAATGAGGTTTCAACTCAACTCAGTGTGCTTGACTTGGGTAGGTTCATTTGCTTGTACAGTTGTACTACTTTTGCTCTGTTCCATTTAATATGTAGGCACAATGCATATTCTGGTGTAATGCGTCAACTCATGGATTTCCTTTTCGCTGTTAATTAATTTCCATGATCAGAGGGATTTTTTTTTTTTTTTTTCTTAGCAGACCAAGTTTTGAAAAATAACGAGTCAACCAATTAGTTAGTATGACAGGATACAAGCTAAAGAAATGTATTTTTAAAAGCATGTTTTTTAAAGCTTTAAAAGGTCACTTATGGATTAATACAAGTGAAAAATATCCGGTCCATGTGATGCACTAATAGATAATGACTTATCTAAAAGAATCGTTGGCTCAATGTGATTGGCCATGCATCTCTTTTATGTAATGAACGTTTCACAAATTCTCATATGTGATTCTTAAATAGTAATCGTCATCCAGAATAAGGAAATGGAAGCTTTTATGCCCGAGAGATTCTATCGGATAATGACTGCATAATTAAAGATTTTAATGCTACTTGTTGCCATTTTGTTGGTGAACAAGATCAGACCCACTCCCAGCTACACTCTGCAGAGTCCCATAACTTTAAACAGTAAATTGTGAATAAGTGACACATGTATTTTCATAACCAAAATATAAAATATGGAAATATAATTTTGGATTTTTAATCCCGAATCACATTAAAAGAAAACTTACACAAAATTGAAGGATTCAAACCTGAGTTGATTATGGTATTTGGATCTGAAGAATATGTTGGGACACGAATTAAGAACGTTCGCTCAATTTCATTTCCAATTTTTCTGGGACACGAATTAAGAACGTTCGTTATATCTCAAGCCTCAATTTTTTTTTTATATATTATATATTAAAATTTTCAAATATATTTACTTTGGATCTGTTTTTCTTTTTATCATTTAAAATCCAAAAATATTTTATTTTTCTTTTGTTTATTTCTTTTCAAAAATTATAATAATACCAATTTTTTTTTTCATTTCATATCTTCGTTTCTTTGAGTCATGTTGCAGGTTAAGTTGCTAAACAAAACGAATGATAGGGAGGTATTATTTCCATATCTTTGTACTATCTAAGTGTCCCTAGAAGCATTCTGTTGCATGTTGTTCGAAGCCTCAATCGACTCTATGTGAAGCCTTAATAAATCGAATCTACCATTCATTTCTTCTCAATTAGGCTGCTAAATTAACATTAGTCATCACCTTCATTCCTCTCCATTAGTCTTCACATTCATAAATGTAACCCTTAAGAATCTTAGTTATACCACAGAGGTTTATGGCTACGAAACATCTGAGTTTATGATCTTAGCTTCGTTCACCACGAACTGAGTAAAATGCAAAATCCAACACACTTACATGAATTGACAGTGAACAATTAAAAGTTCAAGATTTTCACCATTGAATTAACGAAACTCCACCTTTGTGGATTGTATCGTGAAAACTCTTTTTATTTTTTCGAGATCTTTGTAAAATGTTCTATAACCAAGTCACTTCTTCCAAAAAGTTCCAGTTTTATTTTTGTTTGAGATTTCAAAGTCTTATCTCGTCACCAAACTAATTTCAAGCCTACTCGTTCAACTGACTACACTAGTCACACGAATACTTCATCCTACATTCGTTCTTATATTAAGTTCATTATTTGGTTGGAGAGTTAGCCACCCAATGAGCCGAATTAAAAAGATGCATTTCATTGTTTCTTAACAAAAAAATGATCGTACTTTGACGGGAAACCGCACAGACACTTCTTGGTCTCTCTTGACTTAGAAGGAAGAGATTCGTGCCCGGGATCCACAGTTTCATGTCTTTATTGACATCACTTTAATCCCACTGATATAATTTTCTTTATTTCTTTATCTATGACACACTTTTGCACGAAGATCTTTATGATTTTCCAAAAGTCTTGTCTGTGTTACTTATGGTATCTATCAGTTTTGCAGCTTCGCTTTTCAATGCTCTTGTGAAGTTTGTTTTCTCACAAGTGAAAGGAGGTTATATATTTCAAAGATCATCAGGAATTTGCAACGATTGGGGATAAGTTTTGTTGACATGACAATTGAAGATAACATTTTTGAAATAAAAGGCACGTGGAATTTTAAGCGTTCCAATTCTCACGCTGCATGATGTCACCTGACACCCTGTCAGCCGCTACAGTTGTCACATTCCATTTTTCTAGGCATAAAATCAAGGATCGTCACACAATCATCGCTTGGTTTCTCTCTCTCTCTCTATCTATCTATCTATCTATCTATCTATCTATCTATCTATCTATCTCTATCTCTTTATCTATCTATCTATCTATCTATCTATCTCTCTCTCTCACACACACACACATACTCACTCACTATAAATAGAGCTTTCAATCACCACTTTAACCTTTACCACTCTCAAAGATTTTACAAACCCTAAAAGGCGATTTTTCTCTCAACTGTTCATCTTCTTCTTCGACCTTCAACAATGGCTGACTCTTCCTCAATTCAAGAACAGTCTGCTCAGTCATCTTTTCTCACTATCAAAAAGAATCAAAACTTGAGTCTTTCTTTAGCTCCGTTCAAATACGATGCGTTCATGTTGCTGATCATCGAGTGTCTGAAGTACTCGCCTTTAGTCATTGCTTTTACCAAGGTTGAATGTGTTCCGATGACGCTCTTATAAAAAGCTTATTCTATAGAAGCCTACATCAAAGAGGAGGAAAGGATTTCCTTTGAGGTATTTGATAAGAAAACTTCCCTCAAGAAGGCCAGATTTTGCTCTCTTCTAAGGCTTGCTTTTGACGATTCCATGGTCAACCCCGATTCGATCTCCACTGCTCAAATGATCTGCATGTTTTATCAGATGGGGTACACCACTCTCATCCCCTTCATCACCAATTTCAAGAAATCTAACCTTCCTCCCCAATGGAATGGTCTCTTTACCCTTCTCTTCAAGGCTTTTTCTAAATGGGTAACTGGTTCAAACTGCACGAG